TCTTAAGTTAATTTTGGTGAGAAATGATGATTGCTTGAACTAGAATAGAATGGAAAAACTCAAGATATGTTTTGAATCAACAAAATTTAATGATAAGCTGGATATACAATTACTTTTAAGAAAGCTTTTTTTTTTAAAAAAAAATTTATTTATGCATATAAGAACCAGGTTACAGGCCAGATGTGTGGGAGGGTGAGAGGATTCACCAGAGACAGAGCGGGGAGCAGAACAGGCAGACTGACTGAAATACACTGCTGAGGGGAGCAGCGGGTGAGGCAAGAGAGGTTCGCTGCTCCATCTTTTAAGAAAGCTTTTAAGAGCGATCTCCAGGGTCTTGGTTGTACAACTGGGAAGATGCTGTTGACATTTACTCAAGTGCAGAGGATTGACTGTAGAACCCTCTGAAGTCAGAGAGACAAATAGAATTCTATTTTATTTGAGATACTTGTAAGACACCTAGTGAAGATGTAATTAGGAGTTGGATTTGCAGATCCTAAGCTCAAAAAGATCCAGACTACCTGTGAATGTGGAAGACATCGGTACATAGATGTTGAACTTAAGGGAATAATTTGCCTAGTTGAGGCATATAAATTGAACTTATATTGGCAAGGTATAAGTTTAATAAGGAAGGCATTTTTAGGTAAACACAGTGATACAATTAAAACATCAAAGCAAGAATAAGACCAATGGATCTTTCCCCAATTGCTGAGAACAAATGGGTTGGATTTTTAGTGGTTATTCTGTATTCACTAGTCATAAGCAGAGAGATCAGTGGATAATTTTAGATTTTTGCATACTACTAAGAAACACTTGTGACTTCCTTGATTTATGTTGTCAACATAAACTCAAACTTCACAAAAATCTTGAAATAATGGTAATAGTCATGCATCCCAAATAAATGGTAATGAATCTATTCTCCCACTTAGCCACTACCTATAATTAGCTAGTAACATAGTGAAAATAGACCCTAGAAATCAGAACAAGTTTCTAGGAGTTGTTCTTTTTTGCTTGTTATAAAGTTTCAGGTCCCACCTTCTCTGCTCCAATACAGGTGATGAGGAGTCGAATTAATCTCACCCACAAAGCATTACTTGACTCTCTGCTCTTGCTATCCATCACTCCTCCTTACCATGTCCACCCAGGTGGAGCCTGTTGTATACATCCCATCCTTTTTCATTTGGCAGAACAGAGAGAGAAGGCTGGGAACCTTTCCAGTTCAAAGGACAAAATGCTCTAGACATTAATGGGGCCTAGATGTTACACATGTCCATTTGAAAAATTTATACTCCTCAATGCTAAAAGAGTTGATGCCGTTCCAAAATTATCCTCTGTAGCACCTGACTTATTATGTGGCCAATTCCTAGCATCATCACTCTCTGTCACTAATAATTATTACATCTTAGTACCCTTGAGTAATATATCTTTTTTTGTGCCTAATGGCTTTTCATGCTTAAAAACAGCATATATTTGTATTTTTAGTCTGTGGTGCTGTGTGTGCATTTTCAACTAAGAACTGGTGGTTATCATTTGAGCCAGGAACTTAGAGTTTATTTTGTACTGATTCTACTATTTTTACATCCACAGAAATGAAGATGCAGTCAATCAGATGGCTGTCACTCCCTCTGCATTACCCTCAAGTTCTCCATCTTCTGTTGAGGTAAGAAACTCTTAATTAGCACTTAGTGAATTTATGAGATTGATTTATGATGATCATTTTTCCAAAATCTAATAATTTTTTTTAGCTTTCAGAATCTGGTGTTCCGAGCTCTTGGAATTCATTCACTAAGGAATTTCCCTAATTAAAATAGAAAGTATTTATCATATTACTAAAATAAATATCTAAAACATACACAGTAGACCTTAACCATATGACTTTTACATTTTCAAAGTTTCTTTGGTTCCTTCTGGATATATGCTTTGTCCTAATAGAACATCTTAAAATTTATTAGAACATTCTCTATTAGAAGATTTTCTCATTCACCATGACCTAATGGAATTTATTCCAGGGATGCAAGGATGGTTCAGCATATACAAATAAATTAATATAATATAAAACACATCAACCAAAGACAAAGGGCAAAAATTTATGATAAATATCAATAGATGCAGAGAAAACATTGGACAAGATTCAGCATCCACTTATTATTTGAAAAAAAGAAAACAAAAACTTAATAAAATGGGTATAGAAAGAACATGCCTCAACATGATAAAGGCCACATACTACAAGTCCATGACTAATATACTCAATGGTGAAAAGTTAAAAGTTTTTTCTTTAAGATCACAAACAAGACAAGGTTATCCATTCTCTCCACTTCTATTTAATTTAGAATTAGAGGTCTCAGCCAAAGCATTCTAGACCACAGCAATAAATAAAAAAAAATTAAGTTGGAAAAGAAGTTAAACTGTCATCATTTAGAAATGATATAATAATATGTATATTATGATGATAATATATATATACATATATACATAAACCCCTAAAAAAACTATTTACAATCAATTCTAAAAAGATTGAGTATCTAAGACTAAATCTAACAAAGAAGGTAAAAGATCAATACAACAAAAACTATAAGACACTTAAAAAATATAGAACAAAACACAAAAAGATGGAAAGGTATTCCATGTTCATAGATAAGGAGAATTACTATAGTCAAAATGACCAACTTAACAAACAATACACAGATTGAATACAATCCCTATCAAAAAAATTTTTAAGAAATAAAAATACTAAAAAAAAATACTAAAATTTATATGGAACCACAAAAGACCCAAATTTTCTTTTTTGGGGGGGCGGTTAAATTATGGTATAAAATATATTGTATTTAATATTCTAACATTCATGATTTTTTTATTTGATGGTTTGTTTATTTTTTTTATATAATTCTTGCATCTTTTTTCATCTTTGCACAATGTATGCATTTTCATTTTGGTTATATTCCCCATATAATTGCACCTCCCCCTTATTTTGACTCTAGTCCTTCCTTTTCCCACCCCTTCCTCCCCCACCCCCTCCGTAGTGTGTCTCTGGTTTATAGTTGCTTGTTGATTTTGATTTTTACTTTGTATTGATTAGTCTTTTTCCTGGTCTCTTATTTAGGTTTTCTAAATTCCTGCTATGAGTGAGACCATCTGGTATTTTTCTTTTTCTTTCTGACTTATTTCGCTGAGCATGATCCCTTCTAGCTCCATCCATGTTGCTGCAACCTGCATGTGTTTATCTTTTTTGAAGGCTGAGTAATATTCCATTTGTATATGTACCACATCTTCTTGATCCAGTCCAGTCATCTATTTTTGGGCATTTAGGTTGCTTCCATAGCTGAGCTATTGTAAATAGTGCTGCTATAAGCATAGGGGTGCAGGTGCCCTTTGGAATTACTGTTTCTGTGTCATTTGGGTAAATACCTAGGAGTGGAATTGCTGGATCATATGGAATCCGCTCTATGTTTAGTAGGTCAAGAAATCTCCACACAGCTCTCCATCGTGGTTGGACCAGTTTGCACTCCCATCAGCAGTACAGGAGAGTTCCTTTTTCTCCACAACCTCACCAACATTTGTTGTTGCTAGTTTTTTTATTATGTGTGTGAGATGGTATCTCATGGTAGTTTTGATTTGTATTTCCCTGATTGCAAGTGATGTTGAACATTTTTTCATATGCCTGTTGGCCATTTGCATTTCTTCTTCAGAGAGGTTTCTTTTTAGCTCTTTTGCCCATTTTTTTGACTGGATTATTTTCTTTGTTTTTGTTGAGTCTCATCAGCTCTTTGTAGATTTTTGTTATCATTCCTTTATCGTTAGTGTTGTGTGCAAAAATGTTCTCCCAGTCAGTGGGGTTTCTCTTTGTTTTTGTTATTGTCTCTTTTGCTGTGCAGAAGCTCTTTAATTTGATGTAGTCCCAGCTGTTTATCTTTGCCTTCACTATCACTGCTTTGGGTGATGTGTCTGTAAAGATGTCTTTGAGGTACATGTCATGTAGTGTTTCACCTATATTTCCTTCTATATATTTTATGGTTTCAGGTCTGATGTCTAGTTGTTTAATCCATTTTGAGTTGGTTTTTGTGCATGGTGTGAGGTAGTGGTCAAGCTTCATTAAAAGACCCAAATTTTTAAAGTTTGTTTATCCATATGTTCACTGCAGTGTGATCCAAAACCAGATAACCCTGTAGAGCCAGCGATCACACAGATCTATGAAACAGAGATAAGTGCAACAGAATATCTTGGTAATGGACTCAGACATATGCCATATGACGCTACTGTAAAGTCAGAATGAACTGCATTATATCAGGAAAAATCTTTAACTGTTCCTTTTGTTATTTCCTTATCTGTTTCCCCACCAGACCTCCTCTTTTTTAAGTTTTTTATTTACTTCCTTCAATTCATTCACAAACCTTTCACCTGAGAAGACTTAAGTTCCTACAGCTTTGGACAGTCACTGCTTTTAGAATCATTAAAGCAATTACAAGAGAACAGTTATCCAAGATTCAGGTATTTTTTTAATGTAGCATATGGCCAGTGTCTTCACTCTTAATTTAGTTATGAGACTAAACTGTTCCTCACTGCTCTAACATGTTGAAGAGGCAAGAGTTGCAGGAGATGGATGGCTGCTCAGGGTTCATATCAATGGAAGCAGCATAGTTCTGGCAACCTCTATTCTTGTTTCAGCCTCCCACTGTTAGAATTTTGAAGTTACATGATATATTTTATGCTCATAACTAATGTGACTGGGGAATTCATAGCATCAGCAAAACAGAAAAAAAGTTATCTATTTTATGCATGTCAATAAAGGATTGACCTGTTATTGTTCTGTGGAGAATAGAAATTGGAAGTCAAACACCCTTTCTATTCCAAAATGGAGCCTCAAACATTTGGTAGTTTTCATTTAAATTGTTTGGAGGCACCCCTCCCTGTCCCCTGCCCAGGGGGGCCTCACAGCTGCCATCCTCTCTGCCCTCCTAGTTGGCTCATGATACTGCACAGCAACATCACAGATGTGTCAAACTGTTTTGATCCCTGAAATAATGAGAAAAATGTCTCGAGAGAGATGTTCTGAACAAGTTCAAGATTTTACCAAATGTTGCAAAGACTCTGGAATACTTATGGTAGTAAAATGCCAGAAACAAAATTCTGCTCTGAAAGAATGTCTAACTGCTTACTATAATGATCCAGCCTTTTATGAAGAATGTAAACTGGAATACTTGAAGGAAAGGGAAAAATTCAGAAAGCCTGCAATGTCTACCAAGAGAAGGCTGCAGAAGTTTCCCACAAGCATGTAGGCAAATTTTCAGATGATACTCAGGAATTCTAATATTTATGGAACCACAAACACCTGAAAAATGGACTCAAGAAAGAGTGTTTATCCTAAATTAAGGAAATAGTAAATCTTCTCTGAAATAGTTTTCTTTAATTGCAAAAAATAAATAAATAATTTGTTAGGTGACTTGGAGGTATTAGTTAATTTGTCTTCCAGGACACTATTTAATATAGCACTGAATAAATTATGCAAGTTGTCAATAAGTAAGTGATCAATAGCTCTACTAGTAATCGGTTTATTTTTCTTTAATAAAGTTGCATAAGTCAAAAAAAAAGATTCACTAAGACATGGATATCTTGTGCCTGGCACGTAATAGTTAGTACTTAATTCCTGATTCTTTTGTGGTTTAGAATGTCATATAATTTTTGGAGGGGTGAGTGGGGAGAAATGAGTCAGTGAAGTTCTGTAAACTTCAATTTCCTCACAATTAAAAGGCAATTGATAATAATAAATATTTCTGTGGATTTATTGGAAGAATTGAATGTTTATAAAATTCACAGCTTCTCTCTTGCCTTTTAGATCAAATATTTGTTCCAAAGATTAGAATTAAAATTGGCTTTGCATTTACCTTCACAGCCTCTACTAATAAGCCTTCTCTTCTCTTTAATGCATAATAAAACTCTGGATGCTACATATATCTGTTGACCCTCTCTCCTCCTACCCACATCTTGGTCTCTGCAACCCCTATGTCTTTGTTCCTTTTGTTTTTTCCACTTGGGTTGCTTTCCCACTTCCTTTTTATTAAGTCCCAGGAACTAATCCCTTGAAGAATTGCTTTTGGAAATCTTCTCCAAGTTTTCTATGATTCTAAATGAATAACATAATGTAAGGAGCATATGCCTGGAATATAAGAAGTGCTCAAATGTGAAAAATTATCATGACTAACTTCATCCAACATCCTTCTCTTCAGTAATTACTACCTTCACCATTAAGCAATATTCATGATTCATTTAAAAAAGAAAAATTATCCTTTGTCTTTTGTGTGAGATCACCTTGGCCTTATAGGAAAAGAGGACCCCATTTTTAAATAGGTTTCTCTACTAGGATTCCGTTACTTCTACTTTCCACATTAGCTCAGTGTTTTAAGATTATAGAACTATAAGTGCCACACTAAATTGTAACCTTCTGTAGGACTGGGCATATTGTCTTTTTGACCACTGAATCCCTGGTGTCTAGCACTCAGCACTTGCTTAACAAGTGTTTGTTGAATAAGTGAATTTGATAAAAACTGCATTTTGGCTTTTCTATTGTATCCTTCACATTTCATTTCAGTGTTGAATACTCTTATGGAGTCAACTCATTCTACTACTATTTACCAAATATCTCCTTTGTAGAGCATATAAAAATTAATTGCACATTGTGCACCTCAAACAACTTAATAGTCTTGTAAGGAAAATAAGATTTATCTATTACAAACATAAGAGATAAAGCTGCCCGAAGAATCCAGAGAAGATGAGTAGTTCATTTCCTGGTAGAACAGCTGGTTCTGATGAATACGTTGGATTCTAATGAAGGAATATGTTTAGGTAAGGATGTAGGAAAAGCATGAGCAAAAGCTCAGAAGTGAAAAACAAGTCAGAGGGTGAGATGGGGAAAAGAGTATAGGGGATATGAAATGGAGTGAGGCTTAGAAATAAATAAGTTGAGGTTAAGTGAGCGAGGCTTGAATTTAAATCTCAGAAGGCTTAAATTTCCTGCATTAGGCACTTGGAGCTATTGAAAGCATTTTGAACAATTAAATGATCTGATTTAGGTTTATTAGTCAAATAATGACATCAAAGTTGTCTTAAAGAGGGAAACCCAATTAGGAAGCCACGGCTGTAGTCTCATAAGTACTGAGGGCCCCAAAATACTTGGGTTACAAGATATTTATTCCATTCCTCCACAAGGCAGCCTGGATCTTTTGGAATATCTTTATAAAAGGAAAAACCTACATTTACTTCTTTTTTTCAGAAGTTGTGCTTTTTGAATACTAAGTGAGATGGAGCAAGCCTCATAAAGATTGGAGAGGTTGATTACCCAGGAGGTCCATTTGCATAATTTCCATTTTATCTTTAATTGTATGCCACCTTTCTGGAATTCTGAATAGCCTAGAAAGTATGTTCATGATTGGAAGTAGAAGAAATTCAGTTTGTCACATCAAGTAAACATGTCTTTGCAGAAAGAATATTTGTGAATTTAAGCTGGCAATTAGACTAATAAATCATTTTGTGATTTTTTTTTGGGATGAGAGCATTTGATTTAGAAACTATGGAGATGATAATATTTGAACCAACATGAGCTTATTTTAAATAAAAGCTCCTTCAATTATATCAAGGAGGTAGTTGCTTTTTTTTTACTTTGCGTAATAAAAAAATCAATTAAAAGGAAAGCAATTGTATATACTAATATATTTTTGTCATGTTAAATGAGGAAAGAGGTTAGAAAATAACACTATAGAACATTTATCTAATCAGTAGATGTGGTTTTTCCTATTTACAATAACATCCTTAACTAATTTAACTTTTATTGATCACCTACTCTCAAATAAAACATAAATTCCTGGTCTCAAGAATCTCACTGTCTTGTTAGGGGAAATTGTAGTAAATAATGGATATGAAAAATAGAGTATGAAAATAAAAATTATCATCACCTTATGTAGGATTTTGAAGAAGCCAGGAGAAGAGAATTAAAACTTCTAAGTGTTTAGAAAAGACTTTTCAGTGGTGATTAAAAAGCACCTCTTAGCAGTATTTTTCTCTTTGTAAAAACTGTTAAATGTACAATCACAAGCATTGCCTCTTCCTCTCATTCATCTGTAAAGCATAACTCACTGTGGAATCTACTGACTGGTCCTCATGCAGAAAGGTCATTCTCCTGAGTCCTTGGCTGAGCAAGCAGCTTTGGACAGGTGGTTTGAAGATCAGCAAGCGAGGAAGGGAACAGCAGCCATCCGGATTAGCTCAATCATCTTGGGTGTCAGTGAGCCACCATCCATCAGCCAGATGGTCTTCAAACCACTGAGATCCAATTGTGCTCTGGAAATCATGCTTGCTGACCTATTTTCCCTTTCCCAACTCAGACAAGCCCCTGTTTACTAAGCTTCTGGTCAGTGGGGTATTGTGAAAACTCCATAACACATATGAGCCACTCTGCTCTCCAACAGAACCCCCATTGTTTTGTTCTGAACCTGTTTAAGCATATTCTTTTTGTAAACTGTAGTTCCCCCAGGAAAGTAAACACTTTACTGCTTACTCTGCATTGCAACTTCCTTGTTTCCTGATTCTCCTCTCCATCTACATTTTGACTTCATACCCTCCTCTATGGAGTCATCTCAAACTAACTCAGTAACTAAAAACAGAAGTGCTTTAGTACAAGCTTGTGGTAGAGTTAAAAGAGCATCAAATTCAGAACAGGACAGACCTGGGATGAATATAAAAATGAATCATACAAAGGAAGTTAGGTGCAGAGCTGACTTCAAGGATCTTTCAGTCTCATCTGGGAGATCAGGTCTATAAACACAAAATTAGTATAGAAATGAGAAGATAAATGACATAGAAGTTAAGTGAGTTTAGAGAAAGGAGAGATGTCCTCCAGCTTAGGAAAACAAAAGAATTTATGGAGTAAGTGGCATTTGAGACTTCGCTTTGAAGGAATCAATATAAAGATTTTTATTCAAATCTTAAAAGATATGTAGGCTGGACCTCCCCCGGTGGCGCAGCACTTGAGTGCTGGGTTGCGAAGCTGCCCGCAGCCTCTGCAGCGCCAGTTCGATCCCCGGCCGCCGCATGGTGCGCAGACCTCACCTGCCGCCCACTGCTCCCCTCAGCAGTGTACTTCATCAGTCTGTCTGCTCTGCTCTCCCCTCTGGCTCTGGTGAATTCTCTCACCCTCACGTGCTTCTGACTGTACCCAGTGCTTGTATAAATAAATAAATAGATCTTAAAAAAAAAAAATCATCTTTTAAAAAAAAAAAAAGATATGTAGGCCATTTGCAACCTAGTCAGCTTTGCCCATGTTTTCTTAAATTTTCTAAATTAGAGCATCAATTAAACAGCTGTTTTCTCCTCCACTTCAGTGTTCATTTTATAAGGACTCAGAAAAACCTTTTTCCATACTTACATTGCCAAGAAATTATGAAAGATTACAGAAATTTAAATTCTTACCTTTCCTCAAGGAGATAAAATTACATAATTATATGAAAGGTATCAGCTGACTACTCTTCTGGTAAAATTTCCTCTCCTCTTGGCCTAGAGAAGGTGGCCATTTACAGAGTTACTAGAGAAACGGCCTGGAGATTTGTCTGCAATTGACTTTGCTCACTTTAGCAACATAGATGATTTTGAAGCTCCAGTTGCATAGCTGAGCCTTACCACCGCCTCTTCAGTGCTCCTCACAGCCTACAGAACCCAACATGTGAAGTAATTGGGGCAATAAAGCTTTTCCATAGATTAAGTACTTGTTTTTGAAAATGTAATTAGTTTCTTCAGTATTTTTCTGTCCCTAAATCTTATCCACTGTCTAAAATACTGAAAATCTATGTATTTTCCAGCTTTGTTTCTTAACCTGGGTGTGTTTATATGATACCTTCTTGATTACCCAAAATTGTCTTCTTATTCATAGGAGGACATTGGAGCTAATGAAATTTTTCAGTTGACAAATGCTAAAATTATTTTAAATCCATGGTCTGTTGACTGTGACTTATTTTTAAGATTATGATCTTGTCTTCCACAGATTAATTATCAACACAAAAAATGAAGAGAGAGGTGGACAGGGACCTAAGAGTATCGTCTACTTGGGGACCAGAGTATAATTACCATCCCAATTGTCCATCCCACCATGCTCTAAATCTTTTATCTGCCTCTTACTGGCTAAGAGTTCTTTAGCAAGTTATTTAAAGCATAGCATTTTTCTCATGCAAGAATTGGGATTATAGTGGAACATACTATATGGAGTTTTTATCAAGACATTGTAGTGATAGCT